AAGAAGAAGAAGAAGAAGAAGAAGAAGAAGAAGAAGAAGAAGAAGAAGAAGAAGAAGAAGAAGAAGACGACGACGAAAGGAAAAACAGGTTGAAATGCGAGTGACAAATAGTGACAAAGTTAGGGAACATGCTATAGAGATATTGGATACTGGTATAGGTAATGACTCTAAAATTGATCCTGTAGCTCAGGAAAAAATGTCAATGCGTGACACATTGCATTTAGAAAATTGAAAGCCTTTTACAGCAAAAGAATGGTAAAGCAACAGAGTGAAGAACAGGTAGCTTGCAAATAGAGGATATTCTTTGTCAGATACACATCTGCCAAGGAATTGTCAACCAGTATTCAAAGAACTATATTGTAAGTATCAAGAAAACAATCAACACAATAGAGATTAAGCAAACAGAAGACCTCCAAGTTTTGGAAGTGTTATCATACTTTTTATTTTTATATTTGATAAACGTGAAGCTCCAGGGATGTAGGAGTAGATAAACTTAGAAGATGATTATACTAAGTACATTCTACCTTGGGTATTTATCTTGTAATTCATAACAAAAAATGAGTTTCATCCTCTCAATTGAAGTACAATTGGGTTTCATAAATTTCTTTAAAATAACACATGAAGGGGTATATTCAAGAGTTTTAAAGATATATGGTGAAATAAGTCTTTCGACCAACACAGTTGTTCAGTCGCCCTGGAGAAGCTTTTAGTCTATACCTTCTACAGAGTGTCCAAATGACATCTTGATCAGCCGTCAGTCACATGAAATAATCATGGTAAATACTCAATAATCCAAGCTCAGTATTCATTTTACTGCTGCTGGTATAGAAACTCAAAGTGAAAAATAACTAATTGCTTATAGTCAGTCCATGGAGTTATGAGAGATGATTATTAAGAAGGTTATTAAGTCCCTGTGTTGGTGGTTGTTTACTAAAAAGAAATGCTGGAAGCCTTCATCCCATACCATTATGCATAAATCAAAACAATTTAGAAGTTTTCTTATTGGACTTGGGAGTTGAGGATGACAGTATGTCTTCATAAACACTGATATACAGCCTTCAAAGTGTTCAGCTGATACAGGTTAAATCTTAACACCAAGTAAATCCTAACATCAGTCTCCCACTAAGTATTTCATGCAGAATAATAATATCAATCTTAGATTTTGAATATTCTATATTGAAAAAGACTGTCAGGGCATATACTGAGCAACTCATCCAATTGCTAGGCCAGAGAGGTTTCAAGTCAACTCCTATTGAACTTTCTTGCTTATCTACTAACTTACTTTATCTTCCTGTGTTTTTCTAATCCATCCTTTGACTCCAAACATTTTAGTTGTCTAATTTCTCAGCCTTAAGTTACTGTTCTCTACTTGCTCTTGTCAGCATCCCTTCAGTCCAACTCCTATTGTTCAGGAAGAAGTAAAATGGGTTCTGGTCTCAAATTCCAACCAAGGAGAAAATAATCATGAAAACAATGAGGCAGAGAGAAAGCTTTTGGCTTCCTCTTCAGGGAAATGACAGAGATAGAGATACTACATTAAAAGCTCCTATGTATTCCTAAGGAGTAAATAAACAAACTGCTTATATTTGAAGTAAATATTAAAAATTTCAGAAAGCAGTCATCTTTAAACCTTCTACAATCATTACAAATTGTATTCAAATATTCAGAACCATAGCAAAATAAAATAACCTATTATGCATATTGCCAAATTGTTAATTCTTTTATATGAATACAAACACACACACACACACACACACACACACACA